TAGAGAAACAAAGTGGTTTTCGCGTATTTTCTGACTTTGAAAAAAAAAGTTACAGTTTTATTCATCGCGCAAAGTATGTCTTTTTTTTTTCAAAATCAAGAAAAACGCGGAGAACCACTTTGTTCCTTTGTTAATCAGACGTTGACTGTGAAAATTTCAAATCGTTCTGTAAAGCCGCTTTCGAGAAAAGTTGGAAGCGGTTTTCGCGACTTCTTTATTGGCGGAGCGGACGGAATTCCTGGCGGCCGATCATGGTTTCTGATCTAGGTTCCAGCTGCATTTAGCACGCGGGGATTCCCATTAATTTTCCTTCGCCCGTTGGCTTAAACGATTTTATTGGCTAGACATATTTGCGTGCGCGACGAGCTGTCCGCCGCTTGACGTAAATCCTGCCAAAGGGGATTGACCCCCAAATATGATGAGACAGCACTGACATGCATGCGCCGAATCGCCTTTCAATTTCTATTACGATGCTTCCAGAGCCCGCGACCAGACCACCGTATCGATGCATATTAATAACTTGTTATTACGAGGAAATAATCGAGTACACGTTGAAAATTTGAACGAAATCAAGTCGAACGGCCGCGATATGAATATATAACAGTCTTTCGAGGTGCACGTCAGATTTCATATTGTTTCCCGGATGCAGATGCATAGAAAAAGGGAGGAGAAGTATCTGGGTGCGCGCACGAACTTATAACGTTGAGCGATTATACGCTCTTGATTGAACTGAGAAATAACAGCGTATGCACACGCACGCACGCACACACACACACACACATATGCTTACGTTAATATTTAAAAATCATGTTACGACTGCGTGGACTTTTATTTTCAAACAACTCGCAAGTTACATAAGCCGTATTTCGCAGATAATGAGAGTGTAACGAAGCGTCATCGTTACACTCAATGGAGTAAATAACAAACACACGTTCAACGATAAATGTCCCGATTCGAGATGGTCTCCGGGCCGGTCCGCGAATCGTGTGGAGGGCACGTTCGCGACGAATATGTGTGACGAGCCTGCACCGGGATCGATAATATTGTATAATAATTAGTGTACGGAGAATTGTGGCGAGACCGTGCTGTCTGTTGTCGGCGAGAATAAACATAGAGCCGCAGAACTATTTTGAAGTCGAACGCATTATCCACCAATTATAAATTTGCATACATAAGAAATTCAGTAAACATTTCCACTGAATCTTATCAACACCTTCCTGTAATTTGTTTTTCCGCGTCTCTTGAACTGAAAATACTGTAATCTCGTAAGTATTCGAGTACCGGGAAAAACTGACGCTGGAGATAATTTCTCCAAGACATTAATAGTCCGGGAATTCCCCCGAGCCGTGCGATTCTGCCGAGGACGCGAGAGGTTCGTCAAATTTACATTGAGAAGAGAAACGTTGCTTCAAACGAAAAAAAACATTCCTATATACCAGTCGGTGTATTAGCGGCTGAATATACGATAATCGAGTGGCTTCTCGCAAAAGACGCGTGTCTACGAGCGCTCGCTAGAAACGATCGGCTATTTGCACAGGTGCGCAAACCAACTATAATATGCCTTTCTGCCTAAATACAATGTCCTGTCCCGCGATAATACGAGCCGCAAATGCCGCGATCCGCGCTCGAGTGGCGCTAATCTAATCCTCCTCGTGTTTGCGAGTAGCAATCGAGCTGTGATGCACTCGAAACGTTCGCGTGCATTCAGGAAAAGGAAGGAAATAATAACATAGTGAAAAAAATTTACTTTAAATTAACTGGCAACGGAGTAGGCGTTGCAGATCGAAAATTCCAACCCGTCGCGTCTGGTTTTTCAGATAGTCGAGAAAAGAAGCGGAAAATCTGTAAAAGAAACGTTTGAAGAAAGGGCAAAAGTGTAACGAGGCACGTTCGCAAAACAGATTTAATGATAATTAATAATTATATGTCTGGAGGAAATCTTATAAGTCGCCAGAAGTAATGAAAAACTTCACGTCTGGCAAATTTTTATGTTTAAACTTACAATCGACCATGGTTTTTGGTCCTTTTCAAGTGATAGTTGCGTCAGTAAATCCGTATGGCAAATCAAAAGAGCTGATCTTAATTTCACGAACGACGGAACACGACCAATCAGTCGTGAAATTAAGATCAGCTCTTTTGATTTACCATACGGATTTACTGGCGCAACTATCACTTGAAAAGGACCAAAAACCATGGTCGAAACGTTATGAGTTTGAATATTAAAATTTGCCAGACATGGTCAAGTAATCTTCTGAAGACTTCATTATATTCGGGCAAGTTAAATAAAATGCTTCGGCAAGGTTAGCAGCCTACCGAAGATGAAGTAAAACCAAATGCTCAAAGTACCAGGACGAATTGGATAAAACAGGCTTTAAGTCTAATACACGAGGAAGAAGAAATAAAATGTAGTTAACCGAAATAAAATTTGACCGACTATTATAACCTAATACACTGCAAAACAAACTGATATAAGATAACAAGCAATTGACGTGAGTCATAAATGGCCTTTTAGACCTCGTAAATGGACAATTATTACTTTTGGAAGATAAGTTAGATAGATTATATTGAGTTGGGCGCGGAGTGGCCGCTGCTATCAGAAAGTTTCACAATGGTCTGAAGTCTCAAGTTTCTGTATTTCTTCTGGAATTCTAAGCTAGTGTCAGGTTTTACTGATACAACAAGCTTCCATCTTATCGCGATCGGCTCAGTAAATCTCGCTTCAAACGCCCCTTCTTCAAGTATTTCTTCCAATACGACTTTGGATTCAGCGACCCAAAGTCTGTAGAGGCCTGTGTCCACGATGCTGGAACTTGGTCCAAGTTCTAGTTCGAAAAATGCGAAGCCAATCAATTTGCAGCTTTTATGGAATAGTTGCAAGTTGATTGGCTACACATTCCTCGAAACTAGAACTTGGACCAAGTTCTAGCATCGCGGACGCAGGTTTCAAGAGCCACCCACTCTTGCTCCAGTTAATTTTCAGACAATTTCTCTCGTGGCCCTGCGTAATCGTTTCCGACATTGTTACGTAAGTCCTCGACGGGAAAATTACGATGATCGAGTCGATGCGAGATTAAGAACCTCCGAGACGACGATATCTACTACGCGCGATCGACCATTGAATTTATTTCCAACAGGATCGGATATATCGGTGTGCATCGGCGACCTTCTGGAAAACCGATAAAAATACCGGTTAGCTGCGTCGTCGCTTCGGGGACCTGCGAAATTACTCGGCGAGCATGTGAAGCTACGGGCGGCCGATAAGAGGAACAATAACTAATAATAAATAAACGTCTGACGCGGCGTGGCGCGGAGCGGAGCGTAGAAACGGCAACGACTGCATGCGAATTGGCATTTATTTGCGGCGGGAAACTTTGCCGAGGCGCAATAACGCGATGCGTTAATGATTGGGATTAATTTGCCGGCGATTCGATGCCTCCGCGCGCCGCGGAAAGGAAATTCCGTGACGTGAAAGGGCCGAGAAGAGAGCCACGACCGTGTCCCATTTTGCGCGCCGATCGAAGGCAGGAGCGCACGTTGCGAAAATGAAAGGAGCATGTGCGGGGATCATTGTCGCCGTTGCGAATGTAACGAGCGATGAAAAATAGTTTCCGTCGCGCGCGCTCGCGGGATAGCAGATAGATAGAGAGTCGCGAAGAATAGGCGCGATGATAGTCCGACTGGTGGAAGAATTATCGGCGCCGTGACGCTCGTCCGACGAGTCGCTATCATGTAAATTTGTCGGTTCCCTCATTTCCTTAAGCTTAATTAGCGCAAGTTGCAACCGTGTCACCATAAGCGCGATGACAAACGACAATATGCGTGGCCGCATGTGTGAATATGCGGCCATTATTATTCATAATTCAAAGGCTGTCGTGTACTTTCTTTCAACTGGTGGTATTAGGTAAGTTAAAAAAAGACGAAGAAATAATGACTGATTGAAAAATATGCGTGTTTAAAAAAGATCCGACTTCAGACAGTAATTTACTTTGAAAAAAATATTATTTTGAATTCTCAGGCAGTCAAGCGCGATCAACGTCAATGTTATAAAAAAAAGGTAAAAAAGACGCCACGTGTAAGCGCCATCCAGTCAAGACTTACATAATTTAATTATTTGGATATACTCTGTTAGAAAGAAAACATTTTTATTTTCTCTACAAAAGTAATATCAACAAATTGCGTCAATTAAAATGGATATTTATACAAACTACATTTTATTATTTATGATATTAAAATGTTATATCCAAACAATCGAGCATAAGATTTTACCGGAAGAATTCTAAGGCGGTCAAGCGCGATCAACGTCAATTCTCTCAATTACAGGATTAAGAATAAAACATTGCAAATGTATAACATATTATGGTAGTCAAATGCAATCAACGTCAATACATTTTCACTGAATTCTACCAAGTAGTGGGTCGAGAATCGAAAGTATTGTAGTCGTAGTCACGGAGAAAAACGTGCAAGAAGCAGAAATGTATTTTCCAATGACATTCGGTCGATAAATTTGATAAGCGCGTGCAAGCGTTTCTCGAAGTTCGCATTAAAAGGAAGCTTCCGAGAACAACATTGTAAAATGGAATTGTAAAATAAATATCTCTTGTAAACCGCGATCGTATATTTGTATCCGCGACGTAATAGATAAGTCTAGGCAAATAACGTTACTCGCTATTAAAAAAAAAAATACTTGGACACGCCGATAATGTCATGACGGCATTGCGGGCCGTCGACTGTCTCTTCGGATTTAACACAAATACTCGAATAGCACGAAGGGTCGCGCCCCTCGGGAGGACGTAGGCGTCCCTACGATAGGAGCACTAGAAAAACGTCTAACGTACATGCCATGTGGGCACCGTGAAAATTCGTGACGATAACGATGAGAAGGGTTTGAAACGATCTCTGCATAAAATTTATCAGAGACCATATTTTAGTTTTCTCAGGAAAACTCTCCATTTCCATCTTCCTTTGTGAGAATCAGCATTTGTAAAGGTTTGCGCACTCACCGAATCAGGAAGATAGGGTAGCTCCCATAGCTCCCCGAGGTCGGCCGTTCCCACGTAGAACGTCATGATGTTTCCTTTTCTTTAGTTTTCCGGATAATGCGAGCGTCGTCGGTCAGAGGAACATGGCACTCGCCCATGAAGGACGAAGAAAATTAAAACGCCGACATGCCGTCGCCACGAGAGAATCCCAGCGTTCTTTGATAACCTCACAGGGCCGTCGGTACCTGAAAGCAAAGACCGTCTCGTAATCTCGTGGTCTAATATTATTGCGAATATTGTTAATTGTCCCGCTTATTAGATCGGCGAGGGACCCGCGAATATACAGCGCGTCGTTTAATTACCATAATTGCGTTAAGGAGATCTCGAGGGCGGTGAATCTCCCTCCGGGTTAAGATTAAAATCCTCCCTCAAAATTAGAACAGACACTCGCTATTTACGGAAATCGCGCTCGTCTCGCATTCGCCCACTTCGCGGACAACTTGTCGTTCAGGCAGGATAACGGTGGAGAATTTGTTCATTTACTAGAGGGATCTTCGGGGGGTGTGGCCACTCTGCATCCACACAATGGGTCTATCAAACCATTGAGTGAGATACCACGCATCGCCCTGTAGTCACGCTGCTAGCATATTGTTCCTACTTTATTCAGCACAATAAAGTAAATAAGCGAGAACAGTTTCGAGTGCGGGCTTATTGTTAGTTAGCTCAGGAGGGAGAACATTCGCCCAGCAAGTGGAAAGTCCTAGGTTCGAGTCCCGGGATCTGTTGTAGCTGAACTGGCTGCATTAGTTCAGAGTCTATTCTTCTCCCTCTAATGTAGTGCCAGTTCAGCCATAGATGTAATATACAGATTGCACATTTGGCTAAAGCAACAGAGGTCTTATAGCTGAATTCATAGACATAGTAAGAATAAACTGTGTGTTCCCTACCTCTCCTGTGTTGAAAACATGTACAAACTTTAAAACGAGATAGTTGACAGTTGAGTGTTCGCCTCATCTTTGTCTAATAAATAGTGGGGGTAAGAGAAGAGCAAGGGGAATAATAGAGAGCGACCACTCAAAGTATGTTGTCTCCTTCTAAAGTTTGTACATTGATTTTGTGAATTGAATTTAAAAACTTGAGTTTCATTTGAAGTAAATTTTTCAGAAATGTCCAAAAATTCCTAGCAATATCTAAGCAATGCCGTAAATCTGTATCTCACAATGCCCTCAGCGCGGTTTACCCCTCGTATTCATTCACTAAGGAATTAAGAAGTTACCCCCTTACAGAAGTTTCCACAACAATACCAAAGTTGACTTTCGTTCAAAGTACTGGCCAATGGATACTTTTCGACTTTCGTCCAGCACAAGAATCTAGCTTTTCGATGAAATCGGAAAAAGAAGTAACATCTACTTTTTGCTTTTTTTTAATATTGTATCTGGCATACAATGTGTGTGCCGCCAAAATGCCCCATCGATGTATAATCGTTCAGCCATTTATTTTCAGCCAGATAGAAATTCTTTATTAATTATCTTTGCCATCTCGTTAAGTTGCGCCATGTAATTTCACTGACAATGAGACTAATTTACAGTGGGAGAATAATAGATTGAGAGTTATATTTGTGATTCGGTTAAAATTAGATCGAGAGAACTGAGAGATAAGAGAGAGGATATCGCGCTTTCGCAGCATATAAATAAAACTGAGAGAGAACAGAAGGAGAGCGAAAGAGGGAAGGAGAGACGCGCCCACCGTTATCGAGCAAAGTATGTCTCATTCGATAACGGACAGGCCGGAAAGGTTTATGTAAGTGTCATTAAAAGATCCAACCGGACGTCGGATGCTGATCCGGTAAAGAGGATATCGATAGGACGATAGAACGGATACAACTTACAGATTATAACGACACACGTATGTGCACATCCGCGACCTCCGCGCCGCATACGGTATCGCGCGTGGCTATTATCTGCCGCGGCCGGTTTTGCGTTTAATGCCTTTTGTCCTATATTATGGGATGATGCATAGCTGCATTACAGGCCGCAGTGCGTTCTAACGAGTTCAATGGACCTGTCTTTATGGGCTAAGTATACCAGTCACGAGAAAGGGAGAGACAGACAGACAGACAGACAGAGAGAAAGAGAGAGAGAGAGAGAGGGGGGGGGGGAGAGCCGCTCCGACTGTTGCATGGTGATGCGAGCAACATGAAAAAAATTGCGAAGAAAAGCTTATAACGGTATGCGTGTATTAATTCATTATTTGAAAAACCGAAACGAATAAGATGGATTTAGAAACTAAATTAAACCTACAGCCATTGACAAAATTATTAGGCACCCTCCTAATCATTGTACTGTACTGAATCTAATCCCGAGTTGAAATTTTGGTACTATTTTGACACTTTTGAGGATAATTTACATCTACTTAGCTGATCTATACACCTACATAGACCAACAATAACCTACTTTGATGACATTATATGTATTTTTTACTCCTTCCTTGAATTTTTAACTTGAAAAATTTACTTTAGCTCCTACTTAAAAGGGCCTACTTTAATGCTAAATTGGCAAAAGTAGAAGTTTTCGACACTATCAGTTTTAAAGTAGGAGTAAATTTTGTACTTGCAGTTCAACCTCTTTTACTGTCTTAGGTTCTACTATTTATATAATAGAATTGAAGGTTCAACATAGAGTCAAAATTTCGACTCGGAATATCTGGAAAATTTCTATTTTTTGAAAATTGTTTTGTTGCTAGCCAACGGCGCACGATACTGTTTTTCTTACTGGATTGCTTACAAGAGCCAATCAGGGGTCAGCCTTAAGTCATCTGATCTAAAACTCTGCATCCTTATTGGTCCACGTAAGTAACCCAGCAGGAAAAATAGTATCGCGTGCCGCTGGCTTTAGTGTTACTTTTATACACATATATGTGTGCAATTTGGTGGAGCACTTTTTATACACTTCTTTTCGTTTAAAAGCGCAACGTATGACTTGAGACACGTTATTTTACACATTTCTTGCTATTTAAAAAGATCATTTTTAAACGGCATGAAATATGTAAATGGCGTTTATCAAGTCACGTGACGCGTTTTTAAACAGAAGAAAGCGCGCAAAAAGTGTCTCACCAAATTACACATACAATTTCTGGATCTTTTATATTTACATGGAACAAAAATAAACCCTGAGATAAGGAATATCAATCGGGAGTTTATCTTGAAGAGCGACGGGGTATCTCGCAGTATGAAGTTCAATCAAAGCACTTCCCACATATATGACACGCACATGCGTTCAGAAATCACAGCGGAGGTGCCCGAGTATTCTAATCGGCCTTGCTGGCCGTCAGAAGAAGAAATTACCTTCTCGTTATGTAGCAGCTGTGTGCGGCGTACATTCCTTCCTTTAAAATCTGGCCTCTCTTTTACGACGGTGACTGGATTCTTTTTACGCGCGAGATAATGAGTCCCGATAAAAAAAAAGATCCGTGCACAAACGAGGAATTAAGTGGTTTTTGCGCGGATGAGACTCTTGATGCTGAGTTACGCGGCGTCCGCGATGTCGTGGCTGCGCGGATTAAACATCTCGATGTACCCGTTCGCCGAACGTGCCGCGGTGTGTAATCGCGGGGATAATCGCGAAAGGACATCGGCAACAATCGGCAATTACGCGCGCTACGTAAACGCATTATTTCCGATGCGAAACAGGCTACAACGTTAATTATATTAAACGATGTAAATACAGTTATCCTACTCTTTCATCGAGCGTGCGCGCGTCCAAAGGTGGACGGTAAAATTCTGACTATTTTTGTTCTCTTGAATTTCACATCGACGAAATCAGTTCCTCTGCGCAAGGCATTCGAGTTAGGATCAAGATAATATTAGTTGAAGGATCACAAGTTGATTTTCATTCTCATACACAGAAAAAAAGTGTCAGGCCAACTATTATATACTCAAATTAACGCGTTTAAAATTGCTTCAAGTGATTTTTTCTTTCTTTAATGCAATATAATATCTCATTTCAACTCTTTTTTTCTGTGTACAAAATTACAAAAGCCAGTTTTTTGACACGTAACGTTCGGCTGTTCGGGTAAAAACTACACAATTATTATTGATTTATTTGAATCAAACTTTATATCCGCGACAATGTAAAGTTTGATTTAATTAAACGTAACAGTTCGTTACTTAACATTTGTCACCTCGCGTATCGTGCGCTTCATCGCGATATCGAAAACGCTCTTGAAAATTATTTCCGAACGTATCTATTCCACAAATAAACCGCCGTTGGTGGTTCGCTGATAAACGATTCCAGATATCGTATAAACGTTGTTTTTTGTCAGTTTTATTCTTTCGACCGTGCGAAATTTTTATGCGCGCGCGTTTCAGCATACGAGACACATTTACTCCTTTTTCCCCGTTACTTTTTTTACAAACGACACTGCTGGCTCGCGCAAATGTCACTTCCAATGAATCGTCCGACCTTTCGACGCGGGCGATTCCGCGTAATCGCAGTCGTCGATGCTAATCGAAACTGGTATTTCCGGAAAGAAACGGAGAGATACAAGCGCGAAGAAATACGCGAGATCCGCGTCTCTATCAACCGCGATTCGCGCAATTGCAATGAGGACGTGAAGGCGCTCTTATCGCGGGCACTGTGCGTCAAACTTATAAATAGAGGAAAGTCCTCTATTATGAGATAGCAGGTTTTCAAATTCAATCACAAATTAAACTATTCATTGCGATGAATATTTCTACATGCCTCGGTGGTCGAATTGGTTGAGACGCCCGCCTAGTGAGATGGACGTCCAGGTTCGGACCCTGGCTGAGATAATATTTTTCGTAATAAATTTAAAATATCAAATATTTAGACACTAACACCCTGTCGCGGCTCTTAGTCTTTTATTCCTTTGTGTTTATCACATTTGAGCCATACGAATTTTATCAATTTGTCAATCCCAAATCTTTCTTCGCACGAGCTAACAATCAATCTTCCACAAAACAGATTTCACTTCAAGAGCACACGGAAAGAAAAATGTTGTTTAGCTAAAAACTGCATGTGGCAGCTAAATTTCAGTTGCAAATACGGACAACTAATATTTAATTGTGACAGCTAAACATTTTGTTATTGTGCCTATTGTATTAGGTGCAACAGCAAACCGTTTGCTGCGGTTTACAAATTTATAGTATTTTACACCTCCCTTGAATCTTTAATTAAAAAAATTTACTTTAGCTCCTACTTGAAAGGACCTCCTTTAATGCTAATTGGCAAAAGTAGACATTTCCGACGCTATCGGTTTTAAAGTAGGAGTAAATTTTGTACTTGCAGTTCGACCTCTTTTACTGTCTTAGGTCCTCCCATATAATAGAATTAAAGAATTTGAGTAGCTTCTTGTCGCCAGTGGTGATCAACCAAGGGGAATTTTTAAAAAAATCGACCAAACTGTCAAAATTGATGCTTTTTGTAGTCACGACCTATCCGACCCCTTTATCGGGTCTTTTTCAAGTACAATCTAAAGTTGACTAAACATTTTAATTTATACCGAAACAGAATGGGTTCATGCATCCATCAGAACCCACACGGGAAGATATGGAAAAGAGGAAGAAGAAGAAGAAAAAGAAGAAGAAGAAGAAAAGCCTTCGTCCAGGCCCTTTTGCCACTATTTTAAATAAAGTAGGAATAATATGCTAGCAGACACCATGCATTTATCAGAATCTATTCTGGTTCGGCATAAATTAAAATGTTCAGTCAACTTTAGATTGTACTTGAAAAAGACCCGATAAAGGGGTCGATACGTCGTGACTAAAAGAAACATCAATTTTGCCAGTTTGGTCGATTTTCAAAAAAATTTCCCTTGATAGAATTAATGGTTCAACGTAGGGCCAGAATTTTGACTCGGGGCGCGACTCGAATGTTTTCACCGAGGAGGAAACCACTGACCAAAATCTTGTACACTAATGCCCACTAATGTGGGCATTACTTTATCTTATTACCTTATTTTATCTTATTTGTCTTGCTTTATCTTATTTTATCTTTAAAATGTCCCAGCAGGACCTAATGCCCAAACTTATGCCCCAAAAATGCCCAAAAATTTCCTAGTGATGTCCAGTAATGTCCAGTAATGCCGCATATCTACTCTGGGAAAAAAAAGTCAGTTACAACCCATTTTGGGGCCCACAATTAGTAATCGAATTATTTAGATTGTCCGTAACTCTAATCTTTTACGAATTTTATCCCGCGTAACTAAAAATCACAATTAGCTGTTCTATCTATATCCAAGATATTAAAGTAATACTAATCAGTTCTCTCAATTAGTTCTGTCGATATTCAGTAACGCAAAGATAATTTTCACTTAAGTGGCAATAACCGAAATGTTAAGTTGCTTAACTACATAAAAAAACGGTCAAAATTTTTCCCAGAGTAGAGTTACGAACAATTCAAATAATTCGATTACTAATGGTGGGCCCCAAAATGGGTTATAACTGTCTTTTTTTTTCCCAGAGTATACACTACAATGCCCTGAGCGGTTTTCCCCGCGGCTTTCACCGTCGCGACAAGTTGATCCCAGCAATCGTTGATTGGAGCTGACCACTGTTATTCCGCGCGGTTTTCTCACCAAAGACGGATCTTTCTCTCGGCGCCGCCGGAGGAAGAGAGAGGGCCCTCCCGAGAGGTCCATCAATCGACGGGAGGAGCCTCGCATTCCGCGCGCGCCGCATCATCCCGCTCCGATCTCGCGGCCGGGAATCTCTCCTGGGAGCTCATCGCGCCCGGCGTTCTCCAATATCCTGACGCGCGGCGATAGATCCGCTCGCTCCGTAATCGGAGCGCAGCAGATGGAACGGAGCGCGCCGGCTCGGCTCGGCGCGGCGCGGGCACGTGCACCGGCACGCATCCGACGAGTAGCGGTACCAGCGCGCGGGCGTCGCGAGATATTGCAAAGAGGATGAAGAAGAAGAAGAAGAAGAAGAAGCAGAAGAAGAGGGAGAAGAAGAAGAAGGAGGAGGAAAGCTTTCGTCCAGCCCCACGTTTGACGCTTTTGCCACTATTTTAAATAAATAAAGTAAGAATCCATAATATGCTAGCAGACTCCAGCGCGGCGCCTGGTATCTGTCACTCGACGGGGAAGAGATATTACTCACCGAACGAGAGGAAGAGCGAGGGGAAGTCTCTCGTTGACCTCCGGGCGGGCAATCACAGAGGAGAATTCTCTAAGTATGTTACGTTAAGGCACAACACTCTGTATACCGCGGGCGAGCGAGCGGGCAGCCCCCGGGCTCTCGACGACCACTGCGCCAATGAACGGGCGAAGAGAGCGAGACGGCGAAGATCGATAGCCAACACCCGCGGCACCCACGAGTCGTGGCGCGGAGCCGGAACGCGAGGAACCGGCTGTTTCGTGAGACGCGCACGCACGCGGCCACGCAACCGCGTACTGGCACACGCGGCAGTCGGACTGACGAACGGAGCGGCGCGGAAGGTGGCCTGGCTTGACCAGTTGAAGAACGGAAGTGCCGGGACCGGAAGGTGAAGCTCCGTCGAGAGCGGGTGCGCGCGGTACGACGTTCTCCGCGTGAATGCGGGACCGGGCCGGCGCGGCGACGCAAGGCACGTGCTGGCGCCGCAAGGCACTTCAATCGCCGCCGCTCCGCCAATAGCGGCGAACCACCTGTTACCAGCGTACTGAGCTATCGCTCCGACAGTGAACGGCGGCGATGCGCGCGCAGCCTTATCAGTTGTGACGCGCGTTACCGAGCGGACTTTTGAAAGCGCGTGGAACCGCCCCGGCTTTCGGTGAGAAACGGACGTACGTCTGCGAAGGGAAAAGGAGAAACCGGGTTTCAGCGGCGGGATGATAAGGCGGCGCGCGAGAAATTGCAAATGCCGAAAAGAGAATCGGCGAGCGTCGCTTCCGGCCGATACGCGCCTGTCGTTAATTTCGTTTTACTTCACCCGCGGAAAAGATTTCCGCGTCCATTACTATTGCGCGTCGATCTATCGCAAAATCGGCTCGGTATAGCGACAATCAGGGTTGGGAAGTAAATCGTTAGTTATAACGAAGTTACAGTTAGTTACTTTTTTCTGGTAACTTTAACTTGACTTCATTACTTTCTCTCCATCTGTAACTGTAACTTAACTCACAATCAGTTATATTTTATCGATAACTAGTAACTAATTTGATAGTTACGTTAATAGTTACTTTGCATATTTTTTAAACCTCCACAGATCGCATTAGGTCTTGCATTCGCACATAAACGCTTTTGTCGACACTTTACTATTCAAACGCAGACTTGATATTTTTATTTTCATTGCACAAGAAAGTAACTGCAAAGTAACGACTAGTTACTTTTTGAGTAACTGTCACTGTAACACGTTACTTTTCAGAGTTGGTAACTTGTAACTGTAACTAGTTACATTTTTAGCGAAAAAACTGTAACTGTAGCTATAGATACTTTTATATAGTAACTTTCCCAATCCTGGCGACAATCATATCTATTATCGAGAAAGGAATAGTTTTACCTTGAATAAACAATTTTTTAATCTTCACGGGGAGAATTTCCTCTTGAAATTTACTCTTGAAAAACTTTGAGTCTTTTGAAATTTTACCATACATTTTATTACTAATTAATTTCAGAAAACTTTCAAAGGTACGTTTAACTCCTTGTCCTTAAATATTTTTCGTTTTGTCATCAGCAGTCCTTTCTGAGACGGTTTCCAGCTTCCTTCGAGGTTCCTTCGAAGCGTTCGATTGTAAGAGAGAACGATTCGCTTGCGCTCCGCTTTGTAGAGAACGTGGTGATGCGGCGGCAGTTCTCTCTGGGCAACAATAGCGCGGTAGGATCTGACAGACTTAACGGTATGCGGGTGCGGAAAGCAATGCGGGCAATCGATGCACGCACCCGCAACTGAACGCGCAATTGAACGCCGAGCATGCACCTAATCCCCACGCATTTGTTTAACGACCGATTATTTATCCGATGAAAACGCTCAAATATTTCTTACAATTGGTCCCCGTTCGTTCATTTGTACTTCCTGGACTTTGTGCCTCTTCCCGTCTTGTCCACGTCCGACGCGCAGAACGTCACAATTGTATCCTTCTTTTAAGTCGCAATTGTATTTTTCTTTCGAGTCGGCTTTTCTTTGAAAATTTGGAGTGACACTTCTATTGTTCTCATATTCTACTAATTGTAAGTTTAATATTGAGTATCTCGAATCAAGAAATATCTTTAAATTCGGATGTTTATTAATCTTTTTACGACTAATAATTTTGAACAATACGTTCGCTAAGGAACAACAAGAAAAACTAAAAGGACAAGAAGATTCGATGGAAAGAGAGAGTTAAAGTTTTCTGAAGAAGTTGCGTTTTATCGTGCCGAAGAAAATAATTTGTCTTTTTATTTGCAACTTGAGAATATCTTTAAATTGGGGTTTTTATTAATCTTTTTATGACTAATAATTTTGAACAATACGTTCGCTAAAGGACAACAAGAAAAACTAAAAGGACAAGAAGATTCGATGGAGAGAGAGAGTTAAAGTTTTCTGAAGAAGTTGCGTTTTATCGAAGAAAATGATTTGTCTTTTTATTTGCGACTTGAAAATTAAATACTTCGATAGATCTTCACGAAGGCAAGATGGGATCAAGTTTACAGTTTCTTGTGTCAAATCAAAACTAATTGCTCCGAGTTTGTCAACCGAAGACGACCGAGTTAGAAAGGCCGAAACGTCCAACGTTTTACATATATTTGTAAACGAAACTGATGTTAAGATCAACCAATATCTTGTATTAGCTCGCGAGTTGGCCGTTAACTTATTCTTAAAACGGATCAGGTTTAGCAAACACAAGACTATACAGTACGTCCACTAAATTCCGCGCTGCTTCGTTGAAGACTTTTATATAGATCTCTATATGCGCGTTTGGCAGAGATCGTGCCGAAGCGTGCATACGCGGGTTCAAGTTTATCTGATGTAATATGCGTCCGTTTATCGTAAACAAGAAACGAAAACCGCACAGTCATCATCGGGTCCAGCGCAGCCAGCAGGCGCAACGGGGACGAAAGACAAAAACGGGAGTGAGCTGCGGATGAGAGTCAGCTGGTTCGCGGATCCGTCCTGGTATCTCGCGGCCCGCCGCTAATTATGCCAATTCGCAACGCGTATCGCGGGAAGGAACACGCGTCTAGCGACGCCGGATATTCAATTAGCGGAAGGAGGTCTCGCGCGCCTCCTTCGTTGAAAAAGCAAGTCGCGGCGCGGCGCGGCGCGGCGCGGCGGAAATTGGGTCCAGGCCTCCGTTTAGGCGCTGAATATAAAATTACGCGGCGCGCATTGTCGCGCTCACAATGGGGACATGATATTCAGCTGGCGGTCCGTTTGCCGCCGTCTCGCCTACATCGCGCTATCGATTTTTCAATTATCCCGCGACAGCCAGTCGCGACATTTCGCTCGCGTATCGGCGTACACGACGTGCTCCCGGCGGCCACTCGTATGCATATTTCAGTAATGTCAGCGAACGATCTACGAAGGTAGATCTCGCGTGCCGCGGCTTTTAACGCGAATCCGCACGGGGCCGGATATCGCGCCCGTCGATAGCACATCGCGTGCAAAAAAAGGAAGAGAATAAAAGAGAAAAACAACGTGACCGTGAAGGACGCCGTTGTTATTTTTAATCCGCCGCTATTTGCGGCGTGCACGCGGAATGACGCACGGATCCTGGGTTGATTTTTCAAAATAAAGATTTTTATTGGATCTTTTACATCGTGTCGTTTGCGATTCGGTCGATCGATTTGAGTCCGCACCAAGTAGTAGAAAACTGTGTGTATTAGATTATCAGTTTACACGCCTCTCTCTCTGCGATATAGGATTCTACGTGAATGCCTGCTCGTTCCTTCTTTGTTTCCTTTTTCGTATCAGGTACAATACAAGGCTGAACGAAATATGATCGTGCGATTCTGTTCGGATCAAAATCTTCCGCTCGACGACGGTAGTTACCATTGAAAATCATATATGCCTGCTCTTCGCTTGCGTAGTATCCCTTATACGCAAAATAACTCTTACGATATATGTATACGTGTTTACGCATGTGTTGGTATTATGTATTGTAATATGTGTATATATGTGTTAGTGTTTGTCTGTGTACATGTGCGCGTGTCTATTACGCAAAAATATATTCTAATATCGGTGTTTCTACCTTCCTCTCTCGCTCTCGCTCTCGTTATAACAAAATAAACCTTTGTTTAATATATAATATTTCAGCGTACCGAAGTACAGCAAGCCGAACGTGACACTTTTTTTTTTCAAACATTTTTAACGCGCGTTGCAGCAGCGTACGATTAGTCTATCGCTAGTTTCGCGATTAGTTTAGTCGCGCGAAACAATTAAATTACGTAACGGTACGCGGACAGAACTTTCTCTTACAATTTATCCTGAAAATTAGCTGATCGTGGGACAACGCGGCATTTCGAAGAATCTTGTGAGAGTTTTTTTGAAATGTTACCACATAAAGATTCTTCGAAATGCCACGTTGTCCCACGATCAGCTAATTTTCAGGATAAATTTGAAAAGACAATTCTCTCCGCGTGTACATACATAGATACTTGAGACGGGAGACAAAATCAATAAAAAAAGTCTCTCTCTCGATAAAACAATGAAAGTAACGATAATAATAAGCCTTTAAGAACGCTTTTAATTCCCCCGTTCATTAAGGCAATTAAGGCAAATAAACTCAACATTAAGGTTCACGTAAGTCTTTCGTGGTAAAAGACGTCGCGTAATAATGGCGCATGCATGACAATAACGGAAAGACGTAACAAATGTGGTCTATTAGATTAGCGCGGCAGATCGTGTGAGAACGTCTAAGTGTTAAATAACGCGTCCTTAAAATTCCTTCTTCAAAGCAGACCGCAGTAACGCGTTGCGCATCGACGTCACCAGCTTCTCCAGCTCCTCGACCTTCATCTTTAGTATCTTGTTGTCTCTCTCCAGCTCGGTCGCCCTCCTGGACATCTCCGACTCCTTGACCTTCTTATTCATCCGCGACCTTCGCGAGGCCTCGTTGTTCTTCTCGCGACATTCCCTGTATTGGGTGAGGGCGACGTCGTCGTCGTCGTCGTCGTCGTCGTCGTCGTCGTCGTCATCGTCGGAATCACTCTCGTAATGTCTTTTCCTTTCGTTTTTATCCTTCGTCTTTGTACCAGTGACAGCGACTCGTCCTCTCTCCTTGTTCTTACTCGCCGCTACCCTCGTCCTCTCTGATCTTCGGGACGACGCTACGGGGGACTTGACCGCGGACGAAGTTATCGTCGATGTCGCGCGGGTCCCCATCCTTCGACGCTTCGAAGGTGGCGTCGGCTCGCTGATCAGCTCGTCCTCTTCCGTCTTTACCTTCGTGGGGGTAAATGACAGTGCCGGTGACGACGCTGCTGCGTGCGGCCTGACTTTCAGCACCGTCAAGGAATCGGCGGAAATGTTGCCTTCCAACGACGAACGTATTTCATCCTGTAAGAAAAATCTATTTTACCAAAGGACAGACAGGGTAGTTGGGTGTACGGGTGCTTAACCGATCGCGCGGGCCGAGCGCTTCCGAGTAACCTGTCGACGTACCTCCCAAAGGTACGACAGTAAGTCGAAAGTATCCGATCCAGTTGTCTCGATCGTGCGTAGCTCGTCCCACGTTTCACGCTGATTCGCGGTGGTGCTGATCGACGTCGGGCAGGCGTAATCCAAATCTTGACTCTCGGACTGGTACGGCGTGCTGGTGTCCGAGTGCTGAGTTTTGCTCGACGAGGTGCTCTTAGAAGCTGTAGACTCGGGCGACATTAACCACAAGCTGGACGCTTTGTTCTTCTCATTGTTACATCCTAATTTGTATTCGTTAACGAGTTCCGATGGAGATAGCAGCAAGTGACGGTTGTCACTTGGCTCAGCTTTGGTCATCTTAACGGTATTCATTTCCAAATCCAACTTCTCATCATCAGTCGTCAAGTCCTTTAGCAATCCTCTCTCCGCAATCAAACCGCCGTTACCCTCGTATTTCGTACCTAGAACAGGAGCCAGTCCTATAGCAGTGCTCTGTACCGATTATATTCGTTACCGAAGAATCGGCGCGTTATCATAGAACGTCTAGCTTATCGAACGTGTATAAATATACATACCTGATAGTTTAAACGTAGTCGATTCACCTATATGAAAATTGCATTGACCCTGGAACGTGTCCATGCACCAGCCGCTCAGATCCTGAAAGTCCTCTTCCCAGGCGGAGAGCGCCGCGATATCCTCTTCTTTCGCGGGATTCGCCTTTGTGCGCGGGAACGCCCAGGGTTGCTTGAAAAGCTCCGACTCCATCGTCGGGCTTAGCAAAGGAACTGTCTCCACCTTCGTCGAGGTGGCATCTCCCAGTGGCCGCGATCTCACGCCACGAGTAACAGATAACGGAAGCTGCTGACGGTTGCATGATTTTGATACCTGAAACGTTTGCATCACCCCCGTCAATATCCGATCGTCCGGGCCGAATCCAGAGCGCGTCTCACTGTCCCGGATCTCCCTCCCGGGAGACTGGACAGTACTTACGTTAAGAACACCTCCTTCCTCAACTGAAATGTTGCTGGTTGTTGGACGTTCGTAGATGGGAGGGATTTTGGAAGCCTGAAATAAATACGAAGGTGCAGTCCGATTTTCAATTCCTTCAGAGCGGATGTAAATTCTGACAATATTTGGACCGAGGGGTAAACCGCAGACCGAAATCATGTACACCAATGCCTACCGGAGAGAATTTTCTCTTAAAATTTGCCTTGAAAATCAATGCGATCGTGGAACAACGTGGCATTTTGAACAACTTTGTGAGAGTTTTTCGAAATTTTTACCACGCACTCTACTAGTGAAATGTATGGTGAAATTTCAAAAACTCTCGTAAGGTTCTTCGAAATGCCACGTTGTCCCACAATTGCATGATTTTCAGGATTAATTTCTAGAAAATATTCTCTCCGCGCACCAATGCACTAAACTTCGACAGTAATGCCCAGTGGGCATTATCTTGTTATCTTATTTTATCTTTGTGGATTTTTTATAATGTCCAGCAAGGTTAAACAACACCCACTCATGCCCAAAAAATGCCTAGTAATGCCACAACTCTGCTCTGGGGAAAAAAAGGCAGCAATCCATTTATCCAAGATTTTAAAGTAATACTAATCAATTCTCTCAATTAGTTCTGTCGGTATTCAGTAACGCAAAAATAGTTTTCACTTAAGAGGCACTAACCGAGACGTTAAGTTGCTTAACTACCAAAAAAAAATACGATCAAAATGTTTCCCAGAGTAGAATTACGAACAATCCGAATAATTCGATTACCAATTGTGGGCTCCAAAATGGGTTGCTGCTTTTTTATCGCAGAGTGTACACCACAATGCGGTTTGCCCCTCGATTTGAACGATATCGCAAAGTACGGGATGTACAGGGATGTGTTCAGTATATTCTATAAAGGTACAAATTATTCGAATTATATTATTGAGGGCAAGCAGTAATAAAAATGAAGAATCGTGCGTTGCCTTGAAACTTCTTAAATGTTGATATCTACTAGTTTACTGTACCAATGACATGTTCCAGATAACTGAGACGATGTAATAAATGGTTACTTTCTGGACAACGATAAGAATTCCGAGAACACCGCAAGTTACAGTCTTTGTATACGTGCAATCAGATAAACAGCGTATCAGTCGATGTTCCAGTCTTCGCGCTGCCGAGCAATAAGCGAAGCAGTAATGTGTCACGATAAAATCATATTATATACCTTGGCGGGGCGACCGATCCTATCTTACGGCTCACAAGATTATATCTGTCGCGTACGTGAAACGCGGTCGAAGAGTGGGTCTTGGATAGCTCAGTTGGAAGAGTATGCGTCCGGCGGAAAGTCCCAGGTTCGAATCCTGATCTATAGTCCTAGCCCGTTATTTTTCTCGCCGAGAAATTAATAAGTGGCGCACGTCTTAGTGCCTGCCACCCCGAAACTACGTCTCTATTTGTTACTATGGACTCGCGCGCCTAAGCGCTCGTTGAGCGAATCTGGCGCCAGTCGCCACTCCGCGAAGCAGCGCCGCCGAATCTCTCGATCTACGATCTATCTCGCCCGCGATTTCGCTTAGTCACCTCCGAGCTGCTCCGAAATGTTACGTCACGCGACTTCCTGCATGCAACTTATCTTATCTCTCTCTCTCTCTTCGCGCTTTCTTCAGCAATTGACTCGTATCAGGAAAGCAAACAGCTTGTTGTTTCCGTCACTGTTAAAAAGGCCTTGAAAAAAAAATCTCTTCCCTTGCCGCGCATCAGTCGTGACGCGGTCCCTATCTCGCGATTTCCTCGCGGAGCCTTCTGCCTCACGCGCGCAGTTTTCCTCTCCTCCGAGACCTGCCGGTGGGCGGGCGAGGCGCACTGCGGGGAAAGCTATAGTCCAGACACTAGACCAGACTAGACCGACCGGTTACGTAACGCGCGCCGCGGCGTTCGGGCGCATGTGACTCCGATTCGGAGTCGCGGATCGGCGCGGGTTGCGTCATGCGTTTCCGCGCGCGGAAGCGACGCAAAATCGCCGGCCGGGAATACCCTCGGCGGGGCTATATTCGCGCGACCCGCGGGATATATAGACACGCCGCCGCCGCCGCCGCCGCCGCCGACGACGACGACGACGTCAACACGCGTCGCGCGCTCCGATCGATCCCTCGCGACTACGCAGCACCTTCGTTCGAAGCGACGGCGGGGCCGGCGGCTGCCGTCGACGCGGCTGTATATCCACCTGTCTCCTCGTTCAAATTGATTACATAACGAGCGCGAGTCCTTACGACTGTAGAAAAGTCACTCGCGACTCCGGAAACGCGCGCCGTCCACCCGATCATCTACTTACCCTCCCTGAGACGATCGGTATCGGTGTACTTTCCACCTGGGCCGGGTAGAACCGGTAGAGAAGACTCGGTGAAGGTCGGTCCGTGATCCGCACTGTGCAACTTTGTTTTTTCACTCGCTCGTACCCTCGCGCGATCGACGTGTCGGAAATCAGGTGGACTCAGCTGTGTCACTCCGTCGCGTAGTCTCTTCGATCGTCGTCCGTGAAATGCGGCCGGAGAGGCGGCGGTGCCGGGGTTAAACCACGTCACGGGACGGCGGCTGGGAACGCGATACGCGTATACAGTCGTGGTGAACGTCATCTGCGGCGAATCAGCGGCTCGGTGAGGCCACCGCGGGCGAATCGCAGCGGACCGCGGCACCGTAGCGGCGCGCCGACCGGAACACGTCATGTGCGGAATTCGAGACGATAATCTCGCCGGGAGTCGATAATTTATTGTTCCGTCGCGTCGCGCCTGGTCCCAACGCGCCGCTCCACAAGCTGGACCGCGCGTTTTCCTCCTCCGTTTCATTTCTTCCTCTCGGCGCCGCACTTTGCCGGTCGTTTACTCCGGAGCCGGAGCGAGCGGTTCTCAAAGTCTCTCCTTGAGGTAAAGAGGCGATTCCGGGGAGATCTTTAACCGCGACGTCATCGTTATTTATAGCGACGTCTTACCAATTTTTTTCAATCAGTTCTATGTAGAGGAAAGTCCTCCATTATGAGATATAGGCTTCTAATATGAGACAGCAGGTTTTTAACATGGAAATTTTATCACGAATCTTTATCCGCTACGATTCCACGATTTAGCAATGAATTCTCCACCAAACAGATTTCACTCCAAGGGCAATACATTTACGAAACCAAGATGATGCTTTTAATTTAGAAAATAACCCTATCTCATCTTACGAGCTTATCTCCTAATAGGGCACTTTTCTCTGTATTCGCGCAGTGGAGTGACTCATGGAGAAAGTAATCGCGGGGCGAGACGTGTCTGTGGGTGTATGTGTGTGAAATTGGAGCGCGAGCTCGCAACATTCACGGGCTCCCAGAGCGCTTTCGGCGAGAGAAAGCCGAAAGAGTGGTGGCCGGATGTAAGAACGAGATTGTCTTCCCCCCCTTAACGAAAATTTACTTTAAATGAAATTGAAGTTTTTAAAAGTAATCTTTCACATCTAAGAGTTTACTTAAAAAAGTTGAAAGTTTACTTAAGAAATTTTAGAGCAATTTTGGATACTTAAAGTAAGGTTTGAATAGCCAAGCCTGTCGAAGTTTCCGCTAGGGGGCCACGCGGCATAGCACTTTCTTGTAAGAAGAAACTGGTACGCGGTATTATTAGGGGTACATTAGGGGTGTATATTAGGTATATGTAGTTATTATAGGGAGTATATTAGTAATATAGTATATTAGGGGAGTAAAATGATGACCTTGAATACTTTGACCATGTCCTTCAAGGTCAACTTAATTTTTAAAAATGGAACCCCCTAGTTTTTATTGCACATCCTTATAGCTCATCTCGAGAGCTTTCCAAAACACTGTAATAAAACATTTTTCATTAAGCACGTTTTGAGTCATAAAGGTTTAAAGTTAACAATTTTTTGACACAAAATGTAAAATATCTTGTAAAATATTTAGTTTTTGGTAATCATTATTTGGTCTCGTTATCCCGCGCACAAAAGTATTAAGATTATGATTACCGATATATATTTTCCCAAGGGGCCGTGACGTGAACAAGAAAACTAGTAGCGCAGGCCGACGACACCAAGTGAGCAAATAGGACCTTTAATTAAATTTTGTTCGTTCTCCCAATACTTTCCTCTCCGTAATGCATATAATATTTTATTTACTCAATCATCTTTCAATTTCTCAATATTAATTCTCTGTAGAGAGTACTACGAAAAAGAAAGATAAAGCATCGATAATTTAGATTAACGTTCTTTTTACGAAGTATTGATAATTTAGATTATAAACGCTCTGTTTGTGAAGCAACGCATGCACGGTAGTTGCAAAGTTATTTCAGCCGCGAATCGCCCGACTTTATCGTTCCTCGATGCAGCTGCGTTGCGATAAGCACGGTCGACGGTGGGCTAGATGGAGTTGCAAGTGCAAGCTCGAGCTACGCCTTGCAATTCAGCTTGTTAGCGCCCTAGCGCTTCTGCTCTTTCCTCTTTCCTTAGCGATTGCTTGTTATTAATACAGTATTAATATATTAATTTTACTATTTAATATTAATGACGTCATAGGTAAAAACCTTACAGAAATGTAACAACTGGGAGCGAAAAAAGCACCGATGTCGAATCGATCGTTTCGACGAGTCATTTCTCGCTGGGCAGAGTTCAGTAATTGAATTATTAAAAATTATCGAAGCACAAGTAATTTTCCAGTAATTATTTCGCTTACATTTCTAGAAGGAAATTAATCGTAAACTTTAAGTCTTGCTTGTAAATTTATGCATTGTGGTTTACTAATTGTAAGACTTTTTGTATCTTTTTACTTTAACTTTAACGGTACCATAAGATGGACTAACTTGTCGATTCCCTAACACTGTGTATTTCTAATGCCTAATCGATAATTTTAATAAATGGATGGTATTAACAAGTAACAGGAAGGTAAAAAGTAGACTTTGAGAGTCGAACACGCGATTATGGGCATGAATCAGTCTCCAAGTTTCGTTCGGTGTGTTGTTTTTTAAATAAAAAAATTACACTTTCCACGTGTTGCAACGTCTGACGTTCGGTTTGAGAGAATTGTTGGGAAGTCAACAGTCGAGGTGCATACGGTCTTGCGAATTTCAAACAGCAGATAATCGCTACGTCTTTTACATTTATTTTTATTCGTCTCGTCGACGCGTTGAAATTGAATTTATACGAGCAAACAAGCTTATTTAAAAATAAGATAGATTTGTTTCCCTCTTTTTCTTTTATCACGAGGAGAAGCCTCTGGGATAATTTATGATTATACGTTTTCTGAAGACGGTTTCTTCCATGAATCCGTACAAGGAAACTGAATAAATTGAAGGGTCTCGGCAGTGACGCATTCCGCATACCAACGACTCCTTTCGCCCACGTACATAATTGTTATAGCATCTCTCGCGAACCACTACGGTCACCCAGCCGCGAAACGGGATTTCCAATATGACATCAGATAGCTCTAATTCCGACAATTCGGGTAGTTTCAGTCCCGACAAAATTTATTTCAAGTAATTAACAAATATGTAACATATAGACCGAGCTCTTTCGCAAGGTCGTATCTCGATTTTACGCAATTTCTGGTTCTTTTTTTAAATACTCATTCTGGAGTTCCAGAACTTGACCAGCGTTCAAGCACAAAATTGCGTAAAATCGAGATACGACATTGCGGAAGAGATCGGTCGATATGTGGCATATAAACGCGCGTCAGTTTTTCTTCCGATTAATTCAGACACATTCTCGTATCTTAAATTGCATTCGGTTTGAAAGAAAATTTCAAAAGTGAATTTTTTATTTATGTAAGTTTTCGCACAAACGGGTAAGATTACGGCTCCAAAGGATTGAAGTTATTGAGTATTAAAATTATACTTCGATGTATAACCTGTTTGTGATAAGCGCAATTCTGTGAATTTCTTATCTCTGGCTAAAAGTGGTTATCGGTGAAGTGAAAAAGCACGTTTCAAAGCGACGATGAATCGAGAACATAACGCAAACTATGAAGATCGCATTGAAGTATTAACGTTTGTCGCAAAAGCTTGCAATCTCGCTTTTCTGAATGTTAATAGACGGTAATGTAGTTTTGTATGTTTCAGTTTACGATCGCTTTAATGACAAAAGATTACGAGAAGGCTCGCGACGTTGGAAATAGACGTAAGGATTTGTCTATTTTATCGTACGACGTGCGCATACAAATGTTATTTAATTAAAACTGTGGAAAGGCAAATTGTTGAAATGTAATTTTCATTATTAACAGTGCTGGAGCAAAACCGGGACGACGTAGGCGTTACCCGCGCTCTTAATATTCTGAAGCACAAAAGTAAGCGTGAGGTTTTTCTCATTTCGTATTCCATTCCATTCAAATATATTCTACGCCGTTCTACTTTGTGCTGACAGTACGCGGAGGATACCAAGGGTCAAGTTTAATTGAATTTAAACGCGAAGGAAGTGACGCGACCGGTGGCGACGATACTGATATTATAGACAACAATGCTGACACGGGTCGATTAAATAATGAAGTCAAGACTCATCATGATTTTAAGAGGAAAATGCATAGAGTAATAGCAATAAAGTCCAATCGAAGAGTTGCGCAAATAAAGGATTTGGAGACGTGTTAAAAATCGGCAATATACCGGTACACTGAGAAAAATTTCCATCGAATAGACAAATTAAATAGTATTTCCTATGGTTCATTTTTCCGATTACGTTTTCCGATTAAATTATGGATATATTCGATGAAATTTATCCGATGAAATGCAGTTGCCGATTAAATTTGACTGAAAAACCGACCACATTTTTCATCGGATATACAATTTAATTGAATATATCCATTTGTTGTTATGTAATTGGATTATCTGATTATATTTAATCGGACACAAAACATGTAAATAAAGCGAATAAGCAATGTCAAGGAAATAAATAAAATATAAATACATAGTTGAAAAATTTGTGTTAAATCAATAGATGTCACATTGTCCAAAGTGCCCACAGAAATTTTTGTGTTAAGTTAACATAAAATATTTTAACAAAATAAATGCAAACCTGAAAGTGATTTAAAATACATTTTGTGTATATTGAAAATTGACATGTTTTTAATATATACAATTAACTAAATAAAGTTATTTTTACATTTTGCAGGTGTATTAATCTAAACTTTTATATTATTGAATAAAATCGACATTTTTTCTGTAAATTTTAACAGCTGAGTTCCTGTCACTAACACGGAACATATTTTTTGTGCAAAATTAAAAATAGGTGTGATATTTTTACATTTTTTCAATTGTTCAACAATTTACTAACACTTGAATTTAATTAACGCAACAGCAATTAATACACGAATGTGCAAATATTTAACGTAAAAATTTGAATCGGCATACTTTTTGACAAGAAAACACAAATTTTCCAACCGCGCGCCAGCTAAGTGTGCGCGCACGAGAAGTAAAATCCTGTTTTACTGAAATACATTTTATTAATAAAAAACAACTATTTGTTAAAGTTTTTACAACATAAATGGAAAACAGCGTGGTAGGCATCGTTTGGTGCACGCTTGTCGCGCAGGCACACGGAGGTCATTGTTTGTCACACCCGGCGACTCTACACGTTTCCGGTTCTTTACAGAGAGATTACCGTCACATGAAAGGGTACACTGCAAAGATTCCCGGTGCTTTTTGGCCATTGCGAATGAACCGGTGTCTTCTCGACATCGCGGGGGATTTCAACGAGGCTTCAACGAGGCGTCTCTCCCTCTTTAATCTCTTTTTTCTCAGTCACTAAAGTAAAAACTCGGAAGCTCGCCGCCCCGTCGCGCTCATCGCGCGCCTGCACACTATTATATTACAACGTGATGCGTATACCTTCTGAGTAACAAAATATAAATCCACGTACGTATAGTTATATTAATATACAAGCACACAGTTTCTCTCACGTACGCACGTCGATCGTATGAGTTAATACAAAGACGGGGGAGTAGGGACGGAAGGGGGGATGAGATGATGTGGCTGGTGGTTGGATTGGTCCTTAATGTTCTATTAAATTACAAAAAAAAATACAACCTCGCGCATAGAGTCTGTTTAATCATTGAACACGCATCGAATTGCACTTTGAAGGGCGGATGGGTCCCACTTTTCTACTCTTTTCTCTCTCGCGGCTCTCCAGCGCGCTTCGAATTTGCGTACCGAAGCGACGATCGGTGAGCACCGATCGTCGTTTCAGGGTTCTCATTGCGTCGCTCGCCACTTGGTCGATCGAAGCACATCTTTTGCGTCGACGCGAGATTTCGCGAATCGGATCGGAGGCTCTCTTTCACTCTTTCTCTCTCTCTCTCTCTCTCTCTCTCTCTCTCTCTCTCT